GGTTGAGGTGGGAGGGAGCTGACTAGATACATGTGTGGAGAGGGGGGAAGAGGGTGATGGTGGAGGGGCTGAACTTAGTATGTGTGCAGACGGGAGAGGGTGATGGTCGGAGGCTGACTAGATACATGTGAGAGGGGGAGAGGTGATGGTGTGAGCGGGCTGTCATATCGTATAGTGGTGGAAGAGGGCGGTATGGTGGGAGGCATGGACTAGTATGTGCTCGGCAGGGAGGGAGGCTGATGTGGATGAGGCTGATATGGTACGTGCGGGAGGTGGGAGAGGGGATGGGCTTCGCGAGGGGCGATTGGTACGTGCGAGGAGGGGAGAGTGATGCGGTTGGGAGGGGGGCTGACTATGAACGGGTGTTGAGAGGCGGGAGAGGGTTGATGCGTGGAGGGGCTGACTAGTATGTGCTCGCAGGGAAGGGAGGCTGATCGACGTGCCGGAGAGCTGATTGGCTACGATGCGGGAGCGGGGGAGACGGCTGATGGTGGAGAGGCATGATTGGTACGTGCGGGAGGGGGGAGAGGGGATGGTGGAGGGGCTGACTAGTAACGTGTGAGAGGGGGAGAGGGTGATCGGTGGGGAGGGGCTGCACTAGTCATGTGCGAGAAGGCGGGAGAGGGTGATGGTGGGAGGTGATAGTACATCGCGAAGAGCGTGTGGAGAGGGTGATGGTGGAGCGCGGCTGGACTAGTATGTGCTCGCACGGCGAAGGTAGGCTGATGGTGGGAGAGCTGATTGGGTACGTGTGCGCGGAGGGGAGATGGCTGATGGTGGGAGGGGCTGATTGGTACGTGCGGGAGGGGGAGCAGGGTGCATGCGTGGAGGGGCTGACCTAGAACGTGTGAGAGGGGGAGAGGGTGATGGTGGGAGGGCTGGACTAGTATGTGCTGAGAGGGGAGAGGGTGATCGGTGGGGGGCACTGACTAGTACATGCGAGAGGTGGAGAGGGTGATGCGGGGAGGGGCTGCTAGTATGTGCGAGAAGGGTGGGAGAGGGTGATGGTGGGAGGGGTGCTAGTATGTGCTACGCACGGAGCGGAGCTTGATGCGTGGCCGCAGACGGCTGATGGTAGCGTGCGCGGAGGAGGGAGAGGTGATGTGGAGGGCTGACTAGTACGTGCGAGAGGGGGAGAGGGTGATGGTGGGAGGGCTGACTAGTATGTGCGAAGGAGGGGGGAGAGGGTGATGTTGGGGAGCGGCTTGACATACTACGTGCGAGAGGGGAGAGAGGGTGCCATGGTGGGAGGGGGCCTGACTAGTACATGCGAGAGGGGAGAGGCGTCGATGGTGGAGGGGCCTGACTACTATAGTTGCGAGAGGTTGGAAGAGGGTGATGAGTGGGCAGGGGCTGACTAGTACGTGCGAGGGGGTCGGCGAGAGTGTGATGGTGGGAGGCGGCTGACTAGTACGTGCGAGAGGGGGGAGAGGGTGATGGTGGGAGGGGTGACTAGTATGTTCGCGAGAGGGTGGGAGAGCGGTTGATGGTGGCGAAGGGGCTGACTAGTACTGTCGCCGAGAGAGGTCGGGACGAGCGTTGATTGTGGGTAGGGGCTGACTACTACGTGCGAGAGGCGGAGAGGGTGAGGTGGGCAGGGGCTGACTAGTACATCGCGAGAGGGGGAGAGGTGATGGGGAGGGGCTGACTAAGTCATGTTGTACGAGAGGTTGGGAGAGGTGATGGTGGGAGGGCTGACTAGTATGTGCATCGCACGCTGAGGGAGGCTGCATTGGTGGGAGAGGCTGTTGCCGTACGGTTGCGGAGGGGAGAGGGTGATTGCGTCGGGAAGGGGCCTATTGGTACCTCGTGCCGTCTCGAAGGGGGAAGTGTGATGGTGGGAGGCTGACTAGTATGTGTCGACGCGAGAGGGAGGCTGATGGTGCGGAGAGGCTGATTGGGACGTGCGCGGATGTGGGGGAGAGGGTATGTGGGGAGGCGGCCTGATTGCGTACGTGCGAGAAGGGGGAGAGGCGTGATGGTTGGAGGGGCTGAATTGGTACCTGTGCGGGGAGGGCGGGAGAGGGTGATGGTGGAGGGGCTGACTAGTCATGTGCGAGAGGGGGAAGAGTGATTGCGTGGAGGGCTGATTCGTACGTGTGAGACGGGGGGAGAGGTGATGGTGGGAGGGCTGACTAGTATGTGCTGCACGGGAGGCAGGCTGGATGGTGGGGAGGCTGATTGGTACGTGCGGGAGGGGGGAGAGGGGATGGTGGGAGGGGCTGCATTGTACGTGCGAGGGGGGGAGGAGGCGTGATGGTGGAGAGGCTGTGATTGGTACGTGCGAGAGGGGGATGAGGGTGATGGTTGGCAGGGGCTGACTAGTACGTGCGAGAGGGGGAGAGGGTTGAGTGCGTGGCGAGAGGCTGATTCGGTACAGTGCGGGAGGGGGAGAGGGTATGGTGGGAGGGGGCTGACTAGATATGTGCTCGCACGGGAGGATGGCTGATGCGTGGAGAGGCTGCTTGGTACTGGGGAGCGGCGAACGAGGGTGATGGTGGGGAGGCGGCTGCATTGGTTACGTGCGAGGGGGGAGAGGGTGATGGTTGGAGGGGCTGATTGGTACGTGCGAGAGGGGGGAGAGGGTGATGGTGGGAGGGGCTGATTGGTACGTGCGAGAGGGGGGAGAGGGGTGATGGTGGGAAGTGGGGCTGCACTAGTATGTGCCAGAGTACGTGGGGAGAGGGTGATGCGTGGACGGGGCTGACTAGTAATGTGCTCGCACGGGAGGGGGCTGATGGTGGGAGAGGCTGATTGCGTTACGTGCGGAGAGGGGGAGAGTGCGTTCGATGGCGTGGAGGGCTGATTGTCGTGCGAGAGGGGGAGAGGGTGATGGGGGGAGGGGCTAGATTGGTTTACGTGCCCGAGAAGGGCGGACGAGGGTGATGTGCGGAGGGCTTGATTGGTACTTGCGAGAGGCTGGGGAGAGGGTGATGTTGGGAGGGGCCGGACTAGTATGTGCGAGACCGGGAGGGAGCGGTGCATGGTGGAGGGGCTGACTAGTATGTGCTCGCCACGGGAGGAGGCTGAT